AAGTGGTAGAGTGCTAGCCTTGAGCTGAAGAGCTGAGGGACAGCGCCCAGGCCCAGAGTTCAGGCCCCATGACCAACAAAAAAAAAAAAAAAAAAGAGTCTCTTGAACTTTGCTGCCTGGGCTGGTTTGGAACCACAGACCTCAGATCTCAGCCTCCTGAGTAGCTAGGATTACAGGTATGAGTCACCAGCATTCATCCATGGACCTAGATTCCACCTTCTCTCCTCTTTCTAGAACACTTGTTGTTTCTGAGTTTCCTTGGCTAAGACCACAGTGGCATAGTTTCCCTGGAACCCATGCTCAGGGCAGTGCTTTAAGGAGCAGGGGCATATTCCATGGGATAGAACCTACCCAAGCTACCTGCTCCGGGACCCTCCCTGGCCTCTGCAGGCGATGCTCCCTCCCATATCCACTCACCTAAGATGGGGAGAAGGCTAGAGAACCTGGTTCTACCCCACCAACCCCTCCCAGCAACATTCCCTGGCTGTTTACTGACTGACTCCTCCAAATACCAAGCCAGGAAAGCTACCATTTCTTTCTTTCCTGGCGCCAATGAGGACAAAAGGCTTGATCCCACTAGGGAGAGCTGGGATGGGAATGGGCTCTTCTATAACTTAGGAAGCAGCTGTTGTTGTCTTAGGAAGTCGGACAAGGCCAAAGGTGGCCAAAGGTGGCCGAGGGGAGTAAGGGAAAAGTCACAGAGTCGTAGAGGCAGGACTTCTGGCCACAGCTCATTACTCTCCAAGCCCCACCCCCTGGCTGTGGTGCAAGGCCTGGGCTCATAAGAAGAGGGCTTGTGTTCCAGCTGGTCATGGGTCCTCCTCCTTCCCTACCCACAGCCTTCGGGAGACAAGGCTGCCCTGGACTTCTGTCTGAGGACCCTGTAGCAGTGGGAGGACATATAAAGTCCCTGGACCCATGGGCAGAGACCCCCTTTGGGAAGAAAGCATGGGACAGGGAGCCCCTAAAGGCCAGAGTCATGATCAGCTGAGAGTGTTTGCTTTTCCTGGTTTATGTCCCTTGCTGGTTTTCTGATAGCTTTCAGCCAAGGCTAGAGGCAGAAAGGAAGGCTTGAAGGTTTTCTTATCTCACATTCAGTGCAGAGAGGGAAAGAGATGCTTTACTTTGTCTGCAAGAATGGAGCCTTGGGGCTGGGAAGGTGGCTCAGTGGTAGAGTGCTTGCCTTGCACGCATGAGGCCCTGGGTTCGATTCCTCAGCACCACATAAGCAGAAAAAGCCAGAAGTGGTGCTGTGGCTCAAGTGGGAGAGCACTAGCCTTGAGCTGAAGAGCACAGGGACAGTGCCCAGGCCCAGAGTTCAGGCCCCACAACCGAGGCGGGGGGGGGGGGGGGGGGGGGGGAAGGGGGAGTGCGGAAATGGAGCCTTAAGGTGGGAGCCAGTGTAGAGATCCCTTCTCAACCCATAGCTGGGCACAGTGGGGGCATACCTGTCCTCCTATACTATGTGGGAAGTTGAAATTGAGAAGATCAAAGTTACAGGCCAAGGGCTGAGAATGTGGCTTAGTGGTAGAGTGCTTGTCTAGCATGCATGAAGCCCTGGGTTTGATTCCTCAGTACCACATAAACAGAAAATGCTAGAAGTGGTGCTGGGGTTTCAGTGATAGAGTCCTTGAGCAAAAGAAGCTCAGGGACAGTGTCAGGCCTTGAGTTCAAGCCCCAGGACTGGCAAAAAAAAAAGTTATAGGCCAGCCAGCCCTAACCCCCTCTCCCCCCAAAAAAAATCCTTGGGACATCATCTCAACAGAGGGAAACTAGATGTAGGAAGCAATTATGGGAAGCTGATCATAGTCCAGGCATATTCGAGGGAAGAAAGTGAGATCCTATATCAAAAATAACCATCAAGGGCTGGGAATGTAGATTAGTGGTAGAGTGCTTGCCTAGCATGCATGAAACCCTGGGTCTGATTCCTCAGTATTGCATAAACATTTTAAAAAGCCAGAAGTGACACTGTGGCTCAGGTGGTAGACCAAAAGCAGCTCAAGGACAGTGCCCAGGCCCTGAGTTCAAGCTCCAGAACTGGCAAAAAATAAACAGGATTGGAAGTGTGACTCTGCAGTAGATCACCTGCCTAGCAAGTATGAGACTCAAACATCAGCAAGAAAAGAGAAACAGACAGATAGACAGACAGACAGACAGACAGAGACAGAAACAGAAACAGAGAAAAAATTGGGCACTGGTGCCTCATGCCTGAAATCCTAGTTACTCAGGAGGCTGAGATCTGAGGATTGCAGTTCAAAGCCAGTCCTGGCAGGAAAGTCCATGAGATTCTCATCTCCAATTAACCAGAATTGGTTAATTAACAGAAGTGGTGCTGTGGTTCAAAATGGTAGAGTGCTAGCCTTGAACAAAAGAGCTCAGGGACAGAGCCCAGGCCCTGAGTCCAAGCCCCATGACTGACCAAAAAGAAAGAAGAAAACAGTAGCCTTGGTCCTTGAATGTGAGATGACCAGCTTTGCTGTCTCCAAGCCCTCCTGTTTTTCTTCCTGCTTTAGAGTTTAAAACAAACACCATACTGAAAGCAAGCCAGTCATCCCAGAAGTTCTCATAGGTTGCTATAAGATGCTATCTATAGATTGATTATAATCCTGAGGGAAAAACTTCACATCCCCATTTAACAGCTGAGGAAACAGCTTTTGAGAGTTAGCTTGTCCATGGTCACATGAGGTATAGGAAGTCACAAAGTGGCCTTGGAGCTATATCCTTCCTCTCACCCCTGCCCTACCTAGTTCTCTCCCTCCTCCCTTCCCCACTCCAACCCACTGGCTACTCCTCTTTTGGCTCCCAGACCATGTCTGCTACCAAGAACAGGCTGTTCTGACAAGTGTCTCTTACAGGCATTGGGGAACGGCTGGGTCCCTGAAGATGCCATGATCAGCCTCGCAGGGCCAATCAGGCCTGATGACAAACCGGAGCCCTCTGCCAGCCCCTGCAAGGAGATCCAGAGCCTCAGACAGGTGTGGACAGAATGGCCCAGAATCCACATGGGCAATGAAGGGATGGAGAAGAGGGATCTTTCCTCTGCAACCTTTCTCCAAACTCCACACTCCTACATTGGCCCATTTATCTCATCATAACACAGGCCCGTTTCACCCGGACAGCCAGAGCTCTTGGTCACATCCTTTTTTTTTTTTTCCTATTTAGAAAAATTTTAGCCATGTGCTGGTGGCTCAAGCCTGTAATCCTAGCTACTCAGGAGGCTGAGATCTGAGGATCACAGTTCAAAGCCAACTCTGGCAGGAAAGTCTATAAGTCTTTTATTTTTTGGTCATGGGGCTTGAACTCAGGGCCTGGGCCCTGTCCCTAAACAGTTTTGCTCAAGGACAGCACTCTATCACTTTGAGCCACAGTTCTACTTCCAGTTTTCTGGTGGTTAATTGGAGATAGAGGTCTCATAGACTTTCCTGCACTAGCTTTGAACCTTAATCCTCAGATCTCAGTCTCCTTAGTAGCTAGGATTACAGGTGTGAGCCATCAGCTTGTGGTGTGAGATTTTCTCCAATTAACCAACCAGAAAGCTGTAAGCACTGGCTGCTGGTGGTTCACTTCTATAAGCCTCACTACTCTGGAGGCTGAGATCTTAGAATCATGGTTCAAAGTCAGCCTAAGGGCTGGGAATGTGGCTTAGTGGTAGAGTGCTTGCCTAGGATGCATGAAGCCTTGGATACAATTCCTTAGTATCACATAAAAGGCTAGAAGTGGTGCTGTCGCTCAAATAGTAAAGCATTAGCCTTGAAAAAAAGAATCTCAGGACAGTGCCCAGGCCTTGAGTTCAAGCCCCAGGACCAGTACAAAAAATAACAAAAACAAAAACTGAAAAAAGCTGGAAGGTGTAGTTCAAGTGGTAGAGTACCAGCTCTAGGTGAAAAAGCCCAATGAGAGGACCTGAGTTCAAGCTCCAGTGTTAGCACACATGAAAGGAAAGAAAGAAAGAAAGAAAGAAAGGAGGGAGGGAGGGAGGGAGGAAGGGAGGAAAATTTTAAACTGCTAGTTGGCAGTCTGCTTAAAGAACTATATATCAGCCAAGCTGACCCGGAATGGTAGTGCATATCTATAATCTCAGCACTCAGGAGGATAAGGCAGAAGGATTGCAAATTTGAAGTCAGTCTGGGCTACATAGTCAGACACTTGCCTCCAAAAAGAGCTTTAGCCTGGCAGGATTTTTCAGTCATAGTCAGAATCTAGCCTGAGGGCCTGAAACTATTTTTCTGATGTGGTAGGGAGGAGAGGATGGGTTGGGAGTTGGCACAAAGCAAAGCTGGGGTCTCTGAGAAGGGGTTATCAGTTCCTTCATCCTTACAGACAGCACAGAAAAGGACTGGAGACCCAAACGACCTCTGGGCTCTGCTTTTTAACCTCCACTATTGTTTTTCCAGACCACAGAGGAAGAGGAGGCTCCTTCCGAGGACCCCAAGGGAAACATGATCTTGGCTCCTCCCCTCCAGATGTCTCAGGAGGAGCTGGACTTCTCAGAGTTCATCCCTGTGTAATTCAAACCCCGCCCTCCTCGCCCATCCAGAAAGCTGATTGGCTGAATTTGTACTAATTCTCCAGAAAGTTTTGCCACAGCTTCAGGATCCATCTACCCCCACCTCCCCAGGCCCCCTTCCTGTGGGCATGGTGGTTTCATGTCCCTGGGCAGGGTGCACAGTTGTGGACCCTCAGCAGGGCCAGGCAAGGCTCAGCAGATCTGGGCTGAGTTTTGTTTCCTCCAGGACCCCTCCTCCCTGTCCCACCCTAGGTAGCCAATGGCAGGCCTTGCTTCCCCCACCTCCCCCTGCCCCATGCCCACTCTTCCCCCTGAAATTCTCCTGCATCCTCTGCTGAGAGGGGGGAAGTAGGTTGTACACCAACAGACACCCACCAAAACGATCTGAAGCCTAGGCCCAGGACTCTGCTATTTTTGATGTACCCAGTGATTCTCATACCTGACTGTGAGGACTCATCTGTGGCCTGATGGACCCTCTAGCTTAGAGAGTCCATATTGTAGTGTGTGTATGGGGCGGGGGAGTGGGGAGGGGAAAATCTCCTGCATGATCTCTCCTGATGTGTCCATGACCCAACAGGGGCTTCCAGGGCCTCCCTGGCCAGGGAGGGGGCTTGGCTCCTTCCTTGTCCAGAAAGAGTTAATATTCTATGTGCTCAGGTGGCTGGGAGAAGGTTGGAAGCTGAAGATAGATGGGTATCAAAAGGGGAAGAGGAAGGGAACTATAAGGACCCTGAGTCCAGCCCCCTGGAGAATAGAAAGTGGAAAGTAGCAGAAGGGCAAAGGTCAGGAGGGATGATCAATTGCAGGCCATGTGTCCAATTTCTGTCTGTGGGCTTTCTGTTATCCATCCAGATAGGCGCATGTGGTTAGCCCAAATCCCACATTCCAGTGGACAGCCTCACCTATCCACCTTCTGGCAAAATGGCCTTTGCTAGAAAGCTGTTTGCCAGGAACATAGTTACTAGGGATTGTAACTATGCTCACTTCACTATAGCAAGAAGGCATCAGTTAAGTCATCTGAGGCACACTGATACAATGACACATTCTTCAGCTGATAAATGCCATATAAAAGATTTGGAAAGTCTGGAGAACTGTTTATAATTGTTAAGGAGGAAAGCAGTCAAGTTGTAGATGCAACAAGTTACTTGGTAGACAGAACATCAGGGAATTATGTGTAAGAAAAAAAAGACAAGAGGGGAAATACAACCAAATATGAGGTGGGCTGGGTGGTGGTGAGAGCATGCAGGATGTGTGTCTGTGTGTGTGTGTGTGTGTGTGTGTGTGTGTGTGTAAAACCAGCTTGTATAAAATCCAGGGTCTTCCCTCCCTCGCTATCTGAACTCTGTGTGTGTGTGTGTGTGTGTGTGTGTGTGTGTGTGTGTGTAAAACCAGCTTGTGTGTGTGTGTGAAACCAGCTTGTATAAAACCCAGGGTCTCCCCTCCCTCGCTATCTGAACTCTTTCTGGCACTAGCCTGGTTTGGGTTGCTGGCAATAAACTCCTTTATCCTCCAGTCTTGATCTTTGCTGGTTCATGTTGCCATAACAATAGTAAATAGCACAGTGAATCTCCACAAGGGAATGATAAGTACTTTATCTGTATTTGGAGAATGAAGGAAGGCCTGGAAACCTGGTGCTGGTGGCTTATGCCTTTAGTCCTACAGAATATCATCCAGAATAAGAATATCAAGGGAGGGCTGGGAGTGTGGCTTAGTAGTAGAGTAAGCATAGCAAGTAAAGAGCCCTAAGTTCAAACTCCAGTATTAAAAAAAAAAAAAGTGGAGTCTGGGTGCTGGTGGCTCACACCTGTAATCCTAGCTACTGAGGAAGCTGAGATCTGAGGATTACGGTTCAAAGCCAGCCCGGGGAGGAAAGTCCATGACTCTTATCTCCAACTAACCACCAGAAAACCAGAAGTGGTGCTGTTCAAGTGGTAGGGCATTCACCTTAAGCTGAAGAGCTCAGGGACAGTGCCTAGGCTGAGTTCAAGCCCCAGGACTGACCAAAAAAAAAAAAAAGAGGGTAGGGGGAAGGGGCCCAGCAGATGGTGGCATGGTAGCAGGTGAGTTGATGAGGAATGCAGTCTCTATGCTTGGAAGGGTTAGGTACTTCAGAAGAGGGATGTTTAATAATGCTTAATTCTGAGCTATGACCTAAGTGATCTAAGCCCATGTGGGTGGCTCTGAATCACCAGCCAGTGAGTGCTTTGTCACTTATTTCTGTATGACTGAGGCTCTGGAGAAAGGCAAGGAAGAGGGCAGGACCCACACCTGGCCATCACAGCCTTCTCACCTTAGCTCTGCTCGTGAGGATCCAGTGATACTGGAGGATGAATGCACCAGGTCCCCTGCAGAGCTCCAGGGGAAGATGACTGACTCCTAGCCCTGGTGGACACACACACACACACACACACACACACACACACACCCTCTGTGATGGCATCTGGGTGACATCTTTCTTCCTTTGGTTGTGCTGGTGATTGGGAGAGTAACATTTCAACATCACTCGTGGCCCCTGTGTGGAGCTCCTCTTAACAATCCTAACTCATCACCAGAAGAGCCTGTGGCATCTTGGCACCTTTATAGAGAACAAACCTAAAACTTGGAGAGGCAGCTCTTCTATGTGGAGCCACAGGAAGTAGCCATGGGGTCCCTGAGTCCTCAGCCCCACTGAATGCTCCTATTCCTGGGCACAAGCATGCAGGAGTCACTTCTGGGGACCGAAGTGTCAAGAGTGCAGAGGGACAGACAGAACAGTAGACACATCATTCCATTCTAGAATTGTATGAAATGTGCTCCCCAATCCTCAGATCTCTCCAAAGTTATCCATCAAACCCCAGCCACAAACAATCAGGGTCCAGAAAGACTTGCTTTCACATTTAATAAAAGGAAAAGAAAGAAAACCAGAGGAAAGTAGGGAGCTGAGGGAGAAGGAAAGGAAGGGCAATTGGGCTAGGGCTGAGTGTCAACCCCGAGGGGTGAGTTCTCATTCTCTTTAGGTCCCCCAAATACAAGAGTCCACAGAGAAAGAAAGGGAGGACAATGACAGAGCTACCTCTGTGAGGACACACCTATTACAACCAGCCCTGGCTCCGCCAGGTGAGCTGAGGGTGCCCATGGCCTCCGCATCCATCAGCTAGGTGCCAGGAGCAGGTTGGACTCAGTAGGAGTGGGGAGAGGCCGGGCACAGCCCCTCAGCATCACTGGAGGAGGAAGTGTCAGGCCTGCCATGTTGGATAGCCACAGGAAATGGCTGGTGCCACCTCTCCAGCAGGCCACACCCATTCGTCCCTGCAAGGCTCCCAGGAAGATGAACCTGGCAAATAACTCTATGTCCTCAACTGTGCAGGAAAACAGCCCATTCCCCTCCCCCTCCCAGTCTTCTGGGCAGAGGGGGAGGGTGACCCAGGGAGCACTGAACAAAGGATAAAAGACTCGGACTCCAGGGGAAAAGAATATAAAGACTGCAGATGAGCTATGCAAATGAGATGGGAGCTGACTTGACCTCTATACCTCATTTGCATATCCTATGCAAATGAGACTCCTAATATAATAAATATATTTCTAACCTTTGTAATAAATATTCTGTTTCTTCTCTCTCTCCCCTTCCCTAGGAAACAAACACAGTGGCTCCGGGGCCAGCTTGGACTGACACTGCAGCCAAGGCTGGCTGGACATACACAAGAACCTAGAGGCACAGGAATGGAGGTTATGAGGGTCCCCTCTAAAGACAGGCTCATGTCGGGAAGGATGAGGGATGAGATGCCCAGGGACATCTACGACAGGATTCTTAAAAAGGATTCACCTATTTTACAAAAGTGCCTTTCCCCCAGGACTGGAGGGTGGCATTCAGGACAGGGGACAATGGGAACATGGAGGAACACAGCTGGGGAAGGCCTGGGCTCTGGAGTGTAGGATGAGGGTCTGGCTAAAAATGGAGCTGGTGGAGAATTCCCCTATTAATGGAGCCCAGGGAGTAGCCTCAAAAGAAAAATAACACTTAGTTCCCCTGCACCCGCCCCCCCCACCTCCGTTGCCCCAAACTGTGCCTGACACACAACCACAACAGGATTTAGAAACACAGAACAGCACTGAAGCAAACAGAACCACAGGTCATTCGGGCTGCAGTATGAATGATGCTCCTGAAACTATGCAGCCAGAAGCTCCTAGAGGGCGCCTGCGGGACTCCAAGCCTGTGTTTACAAGTCCCTTGGCCTCCACCCTGGCAGCCCTGGTATGAGTAGCCCTCCTGGTTCCCACCAAAAAGATCAAAATGGACAGAACTCCTGGATAGGGACAATGAGTCCCCACCATAGGCCCTGGAGCCTTGCATCAGTAGAGCAGGCACCTGAGCACAGGGCTCAGCCTTCTACCGTGTACACACACACACCTGGGCTGAGCCTACCAGCTGACACACACACACACACACACACACACACCTGGGCTGAGCCTACCAGCTGACACACACACACACCTGGGCTGAGCCTACCAGCTGACACACACACACACACACACACACACACACACACACACACACACACCTGGGCTGAGCCTACCAGCTGACACACACACATACACACACACACACCTGGGCTGAGCCTACCAGCTGAGCCTACCAGCTCACACACACACACACACACACACACACACACACACACACACACACCTGGGCTGAGCCTACCAGCTGCTGCCAGCCTCTCCCTTTGGGGAGCAGGGAGGACCTGCCAAGGGCCCATGGGAGAAGGCTGTGGAGAGACTCTGGCAGTGAGAAGCTGGGAGGGAGGGAGGGAGGGCAGGGCAGTGTCCACCCCTTCCAAGGGAGCTGAGGGCCGCACTGCCCACTTGTGACAACGGCTCATGGTTTGTGTCCTTCAGCCTCCAATACAACCCAGATTGGTATCACTGCCCAGCTCTGCCTGACTGGCCAAAGGAAACAGCCCCAGGCCTGCTTGTAGGACCAGGGGTGACAGGTGGGAGAATAGGATTGGAGTGGTCAATCTGGAGGAGTAAAGGCAGTTGGAGAGAGGTGGCAGGGCCCCACTATCCATGGGGTCCCCAAGCAGTTTTGCTCTTCTCTGACTGAGCACTATGGGAGGTGACTCTGGCATACTCCTGGGTATAGCTTGGCCCCTTAGGGAGAGACATCTAGTGGCCAATGGCCTGGGAGTGGACAGCACCTGGGCACATAGGTGCCCCATGAACACCCACCTCCCTGGCAGCACACACCTCTGTGCTAAAGCCAGTCTTAGTGCCTACTGGGAGCTGCTACCCAGAAAAGCCAGAGGTGGAGGCAGAAGACCATAGCTAAGGGCAGGGGGTCATGGGTGGGGAAAGGAATGGATTCAGGCCGTGGGTTACAACCCAGTGGGGAACAAAGTCCCATTGAAGAGGTTCAGTACACCCAGCTAACGGGCACCCACTGGGGCTCCGTCCGCAGCTTCTCCATGGCAGCCTGGAGCTCACGGAAGGTCCTCTCGAGGTTGCTATTGACCAGGCTGAGGTCGAAGTAGTGCCCATAGCCCCTCTGGATGCGGCTGCTCTCCTCCACTGTCCGTCTCAGGTCTGTCTCCTGCCAGGCATGGGGGAAGGGGGGTATCCCATCAGATAGTGCCCACATCTCACCCCCAGCAACAGGGGTCTCCAGCCTGTGCCTCTCCCAAAGTCTCCAGCACAGTGGCCAGGGAGAGAAGAACTCCTCCCTGGGTACCCCAAGGCAGAACTATGCAACTGGGGTCAGATGGATGGGTGGAAGGAAGGAAGGAAATAAACCATAGGAAGTGCTTGGTGGGGCCCTAAACATTTTGTAACCCAAAGAATCTTCACTATAATCTGCAAGGTTTGGGTTAACTCTCTCTAGTTTATAACAGAAAACTATGTACAAAGAGGTCACAGGCAGCCTAGAACCCAGGCTGAACAAGGCTGACTCCCAACTCATGCTCCCTCCAGGCTGACCAGGTCCTTACCTATGCAGCATGACCAGTGGGCCTTGGCTAGGCAGGGGTGGGAAAGGGAACTTGAAAATTAAGTAAGCCAAGAGCAGCTGCTGCCCAGCAGCCCAGTCCAGTGTATTTCTTGCCAAATGAAGGTTCCCAGAGCAAGAACCAGGCAAAGACTCAGAGCTGAGAGTGGGAATGGGGTAGAGGCTTATACCCCCTCCCAATCCCCCCCACCCCCCATACAGCTTCTCCCCTGTCTGCATGATATCAGAGCCTGAGAGTTGCAGTAATATGCGTGACCAGCAGAGGGACCCCTGAACTCAGAATTCTGCAAACCTGACCCATCCTGGGGTGCTGCAGCTCAGGTGCCCTGGAGTAAGGCAGACAGCCTTTCTACCAGAAGCTCCCTGGTCCCTGATACCAACTCATCATCTCAGCTAGCCTCCCATTCTCACATCCTTCCTCCCTTTGGCCTTCTCCTAGCAGTAAGCTCATGGAACAGCCCCTGCCCACCTTTGCCTAACCTATCTTCCACTGGCCCCTCTGGAGCTTCCCTTGGCCAGTACTCTGTCCATGCAAGCTGGATGGAGCAGAAGCTTTTGTGCCTCAGGATATCAGTGACTAGGCATTCTACTTACCCTCTCAGGTCTCCCTTTCCACATCTATAAATCAGGAATCAGCAGTCCTAGTTCAGTGGCAGAGCACTTGTCTAGCATGTGCAAGGCCCTGGGTTCCATCCTCAATATGACACACATATATAAAATCTCAAAGCCATGCTAGGTGTGGTGGTGCATACCTGTAATCCCAGCACTCAGAAGGCTAGCACAGGAGAATCATGTATTTGAGGCTAGTCTGAGCTATATAATATGTTCCAAGCAATTTGGGTTATATAGTTAAAATTAAAAAAAACCTTAAAAACAAGTAAAAAAAAAAACCTTAAAAAACAAACAAACAAAAAGTTCTACCTCATTGATAAGTTCAGTGAGGACCTCTTCCTTTCCTACACCATCCATCCATCATCCTTTTCTCTTTCTTTCTTTTTTTTTTTTAATTGGTCATGGGGCTTGAACTCTGGGCCAGGTGTTGTTCCCAAGCCTTTTTGCTCACAGCTAGTGCTCTATCACTCTAAGCTATGGCTCCAATTCCGATTTTCTAGTGATTAACTGTAGATACAAGTCTCACAGACTTTCCTGCCTGGGTTGGTTTTTTTTTTTTTTTATTTTTTGGGTCCGGTCGTGGGGCCTGAACTCTAGGCCTGGGCACTGTCCCTCAAGGCTAGCACTCTACCACTTGAGCCACAGCACCACTTCCGGCTTTTTTCTTTTTTCTTATGTGGTGCTGAGGAATCGAACCTAGGGCTTTATGCATGCAAAGCAAGCACTCTATCACTGAGCCACCTTCCCAGCCCCCCTGGGTTGGTTTTGAACTGTAATCCTCAGATCTCAGCCTCCCTGCGTAACTAGGATTATGGGGTAAGCCACCTTCACCCAGCTCCCACACCATCTTCTTTTTTCCCATCATCTAGAGCCTGCCCCATCACCACCATCACAGCTCAGAGCCACTCACCGTGAGCTGCTTGGTGGACACTCCACTCTCCAGAGCAGCCCGGTTCATGGCCCGCAGAGTCTCAAAGTCGGGGGCCTCAATGAAAACCACGTAAGGGACAAACTCAGCTGTCCTCAGCACCTTCACTGCCTACAGGAGAAGAACAGCATGGGAAGTATATCCCCACACATGTCCTGAGAACACAATGTTGGGTGACAGGGTGAACACCTGAGAGTGGGTAAGAAGGGGCACCTGGGATTCTGGGCCATGAGTCCTGTGGATGAATGGTTGACAAACTGAAGGAGCAGGAAATGAGGATCTGAGAAGCTGAGAAAGGAGGGCCTCTGGGTGGGCTAGGTCCCTAGCACTAATGAGGGGTATATAGGCTGCTTGGGAGATAAGAGGGGAACAGAGTACATGGATAGCGTACTGGCAGGCCAGGCTGTACCTGAGGGTTGACATCCAGCACGCACACCTTGCCGGCAGCAACCACACCCCGGATGGAATCGATTCGTGTGCCATACAAGTTGCCTTCATATTCGCCATGTTCCAGGTAGCGGCCAGCACGGATGTCAGCCTCCATCTCCCCACGGGACACAAAGCTGTAGCCCTGGCCTTCCCGCTCTGAGTCCTTGGGTCTTCGGGATGTGTCTGGGAGTGAGGAGGGAGAAAGGACTGAACGGCCACAGGTAAAACACACCATCACAAATATATGCACATGTTCTAGGTGAGTCCTACATTTTCAGGCCTGGGGGGTGAACTCTGGCTTCCACCTTCCCAGTACAGCTGCCTTCTCGCACACACCTGCCCTCACCTTGGCCACTGGCACAGACACAGGTGGACACAGGACTCTGTTCTGGGAGAGCCTTCAGTGAGCACCTGATTCAATCCTGTGCTCATAGATGGCAACTGAGGCCCAGAAAAGCAATGTGTGGCCCAAAGCCACAAGGGTGAAGCAGCACTCTGGCTGCCTCAAGGTGCCAGAAGCATTTACCATCAGTGCTGCCGTCACCAACACCTGCACTCAGCCTGATGGTCCCATCACTCAGAGGCCCTGACTGCCACAAGGCCACACTCACTTTTGTCATGGCTTGTAAGCATAGGAAAAGGAAAGGCGCCGAATCTGCAGTTCCCTCTACCACCCACAGAGGGCGAACACCCCACAGCCATAAACTTGTTCCTTCATTGAGGGAAACCAGCCTATACAGAGGCAGCCCCTACTCCAGACACCCACCCAGCAGGGCCCAGCTCCCACTCACAGGGTATTGTGGTGCCATAGCGATCTGGATCCCACATGATGAGCTTGTTCTTCAGGCTGCGCCGGCCCACACCCTGCGCCCCAATCAGCACCAGGGTTTTCCGGCGGAATGGGGGCATGCGGGCCACCTCCTCATAAATAAGCAGCTCGTGGCGGTCAAATTCTGGACACAGGGAGATGGCACTGCTCATCAGGCTGCACGGTGGGGGAGGGGCAGAGCACTCAGGGAGGTCAAGGATAAAAGGGTTTGGGAGTAAGGGAGAAAAGGGGGGGGGACCTTGGTAGGGTCAAGGCTGGCAGTATCTGAGGCAGGAAAGCAAATTCACAAGTCTCTGAGGTGCTAATACCCACCTGCATTCTTGGTGGTCAAATACATCATTCGCTTCTTCTTCTTTCCCGAAAGGCTGCCGCATAAGGTCCCTGGCCATATGGAGGTGGGTGAGTAAGGCAGGCAGATTCCACGCTGCCCGCAATTGAAGATTGAGGCTCAGGGAGGGAGCTCCTACCTGAGGTGGGTGTCAGCTCCAGGTCCCGTTTGACAAACGCCTTCCGCTTCTCCTCCAGCAGCTGGCTAGGAATGAGCCCAGCACTGCCCCCTTCCACATGGCAGGCCTGCAACAATCACGAGCCTGAATGAGAAAACCCCTCCGTGTGCCTTTATCTCTTCCCCTTCCCACCATACCTGGAAAGGCTTCAGGTAACACCCAGAGCTCACCTGCCACCAGTTGGCATCATCCTGGTTTACAATCTGGAGCAAATCGCCAGCATTGAAGCGCAGGCCTGCTTCCTTGCATGGGATGAGACTGTCTCGGGCCGGGTCATAGTCAAAGTGGCATTTAACAAATACCTGGGTCCAGGAATTGGTGAAAAGTTAAAGGAAAGAACAGAGGTAGTCTCTGTTGGAAGGGCAGGTGGCCCATGGTCTTCCCCTTACCCCTTCCTCCCGACCCCCCTCTCTTTTCCCTCAGTTGTGGGGCTTGAACTCTGGTTCTGGGCATTGTTCCTCAGCTCTTCAGCTCAAGGCTAGCACTCTACTCACTTGAGCCACAGTGCCACTTCTGGTTTTCTGGTGGTTTATTGGAGATAAGAGTCTCACAGACTTTCCTGCTTGGGCTGGCTTTGATCCCCCAGATCTCAGCCTCCTGAGTAGATAGGATTACAGGCATGAGGCACCAATCCCCTTCCTCTCTTAACTTCCGACCCCTCCCCAGAACACTGATGTCTCCAGGCCTGTCCTCCCTGAGTCCCAGTCTTTCTTGACATATAGAAGACTCAGGTTGAGCTGGGTGCCGGTGGCTCATACCTGTAATCCTAGCTACTCAGGAGGCTGAGATCTGAGGATCGTGGTTCAAAGCCAGCCCAGGCAAGAAAGTCAATGAGACTCTTTTCTCCAGTAAACCACCAGAAAATCAGAAGTGGCACTGTGGCTCAAGTGGTAGAGCACTAGCCTTGAGCTGAATAGCTCAGGGACAGCACCTAGGCCCAGAGTTCAAGCCCCACGACAGAAGGAGGAGGAGGAGGAGGAGGAGGAGGAGGAGGAGGAGGAGATGACTCAGGTTGAGGGATGAAGAAACTGCTCAGGGTTGAGACTGGCCTAGAACTGAGGAGACAGGGTCACCCAGGTAGAGGACCCTGGGACCTAACTCCTTATTTCTCTGGCTGCCATCTCCCTCCTGGAATAGAGGGCTCTAAGAGAATAGAGCCTCAGGGATGGTGAGAGGTACAGTGTGTGTGTGTGTGGTAGAGGGAGAGGATGGCAAAGCAGCCCAAATTCTGCAATCCACCAATCAGGAGATAGTTGTCCAGAGCATATAACAAGCCCACCCTGCACAGGATCATCTATGTGTGCAAAGCCCATTGCACAGGGTATAGATGTTCTCTTGTACACTCAAGTGGCACCCAAGTGGCTGAAATGCATAGTAATCTCTCACACATGCATAAGTGCCTAAGCAGCCTGCAGACAAAGGCACAAGCACCTATACAACGCAGGGCTGAGCTACTCTTGGGCCCTGGGATCCTGTTGTCTGTTTTGTCTGAAAAGGAGAAGCTCCATGAGCCCTGTGGCCCTCACAGCTGGGAGACTCCACCATCCATTGGGCCTTGTGAGGGGTGGAAGGTTAGGTAGAAAAACCCACCTGACGAGGCAGATGGGGCTCCTGGTAGCTAGGCAGGATCTTGAGGATGACGCTGCCACTGGCACTGCGTAGGAGCTCCTGCAGTGCCCGGGGGTCGCTACCCACCGGCTGCCCATTCACCTCCTTGATGATGTCCCCCACGTGCAGCAGGCCTTGCTGGGCCACCATGCCCCCGTGCAGTATGCGTGCGATCACCAACTCGCCACCCTCCACCCGAAATGTCACACCCTAAGGGACAGAGGTGTATGTAATAAGGCTCCAAACCAGAATCTTCAGATGGGTCTCCTAATGAGCCTCCGACCTTGTCCCCACCCACCCCCACACTCCAAAATCCGCTTCCATCTGCCCCCCTACTTTGTGTACAGGTGCTAGGGCTTGAACTCAGGGCTTCAAGCACTCTCTTTGGTCTTTTCAGTCAAGGCCGACATTCTACTACACTCTACCATTTGTGCCACAACTCCACTTCCGGCTTTTTGCTGGTACTGTGGAGGTAAGAGTCTCGGGGTTTCAAACTGTGATCCTCAGATCTCAGCCTCCTGAGTAGCTAGGATTACAGGAGTGGGCCATTAGCAACTGACCTGTTCCAATTCTCCACCACAAGAGGCATTAAGGGGCAAAAGCTCAGCCCTGAGAGGTCCTGACCTATGTGTTCGCAGCTCGGGCTTCTGTGCTCTCCTGGGTCTGCATAAGACCTTCCTTGGGCAAAGCTGAGCCGACCTTCATCTTCAGCCCCTCCTAATCTTTCCTGCCCCCTCATTGGTTATTCTGCAGATACCACCTCTGGCCCTGCCTGGCCCCCTTACCAGATGCTCTCCTGCAGTCTTGCGGATGCCCACCATGCGCACCGCATCAGGAGGTACCGGCTGGTTGCTGAATGTGGGGTCCAGACCAGGGCTGGGGGGTGGTGTCTCATAAGTCTTGGAGGCTACTGAGTCGTGCGTCTCCAGAAGAGACTGGAGAAATGATGGGGAACGAAGGAACACTAAAGCAGTTCCCTAGGAACTTCTGCAGGCCCCACCCCCAGCCACACGCCCCTCCCATTCCACGCCTTCCAAACAGCCCCGCCCACGCGCATGCCCCACCCACTTCCCCGCCCCAGCCACTGGCCCCTCCCACTGCCCCACCTCGCCTAAAGCATCCCTGCCACACCACGCCCACTTCCCTCCAACAGCCTCCGCCCCCAGTCGCATGCCCCGCCCACTCCTCCCCCAACCTGGAAGTGCGGCTCCTGGAGGATTCGCGCCAGCTCTGCAGCGGTGCTGCTCTGCTCTGCCAGCTGTGCCAGGTCCCGCAGGATCTCCTGCACCAGCTCCAGGTTGTTGTCCCGCACAGCTTCCAGCTTCGTCTCCTCCAGTCTCTCATGGGCCTGGGTATGGGGACCGGACAGGTGAGGCTGGCTGCTTCCCGGGAGCTCGTGTCCTGCCCCCAGCTCCCCGCATCCCCACACCAACCAGCCTCTGCCCAGCCCCAGTGCTGACTTTGGATCCCACCCACGGCGGAGCCTTAGGTATCAGCTTCCACAACTCCCTCACACACAAACACCACACCCACAGACTCGCCCATTTTTCTTGCCCTAAAATGATTAGTGCCCAGGCTCTAAGTTCAAGCCCCCGTACAGACACAGACACATGTGTAACCTCAAGGAATTCCATGCACATACACATCCCTTCTACCCCATTCACACCCAAATCTTAGAAGGAACATTTTCACTAGTTTATGGTTTATTCGAGTTCTTTTGGGGAGCTCTCTGGCTAGTTGATTTGGGGTTTTGAATCAGATTCTCCATTCTCTTGCCTTCCAAGTACTAGTACCTCAGGTATGCACTACCATGCCTGACTTACTTGCCTGCCTGCCTTCCTTTTTTTCTTTTTCTTTTTGTCATATCAGGGTTTGAACTAAGGGACTAACACTCACATAGCTTGGTTGGTTGGCTGGTACTCTAGCACTTGAGCCATGACTCCAACCAGGTTTTTGCTGCTTATTCAGAAGACAGTCTTGCAAATTTTTCTGCTCCGGCTGGGTTTGAACCACAATTCTCCATATCTTAGCATCCTGAATAGCTAGGATTATAATCATAAACTACTGGTACCCATGGAAACCTTTGAAACTTGGGGGTTTTAGTTTAACTAGTTTGTTGTCTCCTCCTCCTCCTCCTTCTCCTCCTCCTTCTTTTGCCAGTCCTGGGGCTTCAACTCAGGGCCTGTTCTTGTAACCTAACAGTATACCCTAGAAATCACTTTTGCTGCCACATGGAGATCTTCTCCATTCTTTGTGTCTTGAACTCAGAGCCACATGCTCTTAATTAGCTTTTTCACTCATGACTGATGCTCTACCACATACACTATGCCTCTTGTGTAGCTTTTTTACTGGTGTATTAGAGATAAGAGTCTCACAGACTTCTGCCCTGATTGACTGAAACTCAATCCTCAGAGTGGAGCCTCCTGAATAGTTAGGATTGTACAAGCATTGAGCCATCAGGTGTGGCTTCCAATTGTTTTGTTTGTTTTTTCTTAATTACTGCATTTGATTCTATTGCATGACTAGAGTCCTGTAATTTACTGTAATTTATTCAATCAATTTAAGTATTTAGGTTAGTTCTAGTATTTTGCTATTGCAACTAAGACTGCAGCAGATAACTGTGTTAACTACAGAGAGAGAGAGAGAGAGAATATTCTGTGTCTGTGGAGATCTTCCCTGTCAAGTCTTGCAGGACCAAGCAATAAATACACGTGTGGTTTTCTTACTGTTGACAAACTCCCTTCCATGGGCTGGGCGGATCTGCCCTCCCTGCAGCATGACAAGAGATTTCCCAGATGATCAAACCTTTGAATGCCTGCCAATCCCATAGATGAGAAATGACTTTTCAGTGGGGCTTAATTTGCATTCTGCTTATCACAAATGAAGACAAGCATCTCCTCATATTTTTAAGGACCATCTGCATATATCTATTTCTGTGAACTGTCTGCTCATGATTTTTGCCAATTTTTCTATTTGTTTCCTTTTTTCTCATTTTTAAATGTTCTCTCTATATTGAGATTAGCCCTTTATTTGTGATACTTCTTGCAAATCGCTTCCTTGGGTTTGTCATATGTCTTTTGATTCTGCTTATGGTGTTTTTGCCGAGCAAAAAATTTTTTAATGTGGTTGAATTCAATTAATCTCTTATGTATCTGAATTTTAAAGCATGAAGTGGGGGCTTTCCCTACACAGTTTTCTTCTAAGATATTTCACATCTAGATTTCTGTTTGGAGTTAATTCTCGTATGTAGTCTGAGATTCCAGTTTGAAATATTTCAAAACAATGACCAGATGTTTCAATGTTATTTATTATAACTCAATAAGAAAATAATGCTTTAGTTTTTTAAATGTGAGAATAAAAGCATGATTACTTTTTTTTTTTAATCCATGCATGGTGGCTCACATCTGTAATCTCAGATACTTGAGGGGCTGAAATCGGGAGGATTGTGGCTCTAGGCCAAACTGGGCAAAAAGTTCACAAGATTCCATTTTAACCAATAGTTTGACACAGAGTTACACAGTTGTCACATCAGCTATAGTAAGAGGCATTTTAAAATAGAAGTATCAGGGCTGGGAATGTGGCTTAGTGGTAGAGTGCTTTAGCATGCATAAAGCCCTGGGTTTGATTCCTAGTACCACATAAACAAAAACAAAACAAGACAGAAGTGGCACTGTGGCTCAAGTGGTAGGGTACTATCCTTGAGCAAAAGAAGCGCAGAGACAGTGCCAGGCCCTGAGTTCAAGCCCCAGGACTGGCAGAAGAAAGAAGAGGAGGAGGGGGAGGAGGAGGAAGTATCACAGTGTAGACACAGAAAACAAGACCTTAATGTCAAAATAGCCAGAGCAAACATGAATTGGAGGCATGACTCAGCAGTAGAACACCTGCCTAGCAAGCATAAGACCTTGAGTTCAAACCCCAGGTCCACCAAAAAAGAAAGAAAGAAAGAAAGAAAACGAGGGAAAAAATACTTATATTTTGGGGGGGGGTCTGGTCGTGGGGCCTGAATTCTGGGCCTAGGCACTCTCTTCAGCTCAAGGCTAGCGCTCTACCACTTGAGCCACAGTGCCACTTCCAGATTTTTTTCTTTCTGCTTATGTGGTGCTGAGGAATCAAACCCAGAGCCTCATGCATACAAGGCAAGTGCTCTACCACTGAGCCAACTTCCCAGCCCCAAAATCCTTATATTTTGATGTACACATACTGAACTACTTCTAGATAAAATTATATCATGTCTGAAATATATTTCAAAATAATTCAGGAGGGCTTGGAATGTGGCTTAGTACAGGGCTTTTCTAGCGTGCATGAAGCCCTGGGTTCAATTCCTCAGTACCACACACAGAGAAAAGGCCGCAAGTGGTGCTGTAGCTTAAGTGGTAGAGTGCTAACCTCCTGCACAGAGAGGCTAAAGGACAGTACTCAGGCCCTGAGTTCAAGCTCCAGGACTGGCAAAAAAAAAAAAAAATCAGGAGAGAGGGATGAGGGTGGAAAGATAGATGAATGAATTGTTAAATGTTGAAGTAGGGTGATGGAAGGGACTGTTTATGAGATCTTGCTATGATATCCAGGTTGGTCTTGAAATTCTGGGCTCAGAGATCCTTCTGTGTCTATTTCCTGGGTGCCGGAGCTACTAGAAGAAGCCACTACACCCAGCTCAAGACAGGGAGATTTCAGTCACCCATAGGAATAGTATGAGGATTCAGTGAGATATGGTGCTAAGCATACAGCAGTTGTACAATATAGGCTAGATGCTGGCTGGGGGAAACACATGGAAGAGACAAAGGATTCTCATTTGGGCACAAGAACAGGTCTCAAAGAGTTGATTTCCTAGAGCCTGTGTGATCTAGTCACTGAGCTCAACATAGCCTATGGAGCCTGAGTGGGAGATGGAGGCTTCTCAAGGCTCTGGGTCATTACTGTGTCCAGGACAATGTTATGAATCTGCCACCAGAGTTTGAACTCAGGGACTTATGCTTGCTCAACTGGTATACCACCACTTGAACCATGCCTCTTGTCTTGCTTTTTTGTGCTGGGAATGAAACTTGAACTCAAGGCCTCACACTCTGGCTTGGCCTCCTTATTCACAATTGGCACTCTACCATCATGCTCCACCACCTCTAGTCTGACATTATGCTGGTTAACCGGAGATGGGAGCCTCATGGACTTTTATCCCCCAGGCTGGTTTTGAACTTTAGTCCTCAGATCTCAGCTCAACCAGCCCAACCAGGCTTACTTTCTGGAGATGGAGTCTTGAAGAGTTTTCTGCCCAGGCTGACTTCAAATCGCAAACATCCAGCTCTCAGAATCCTGAGTAGCTAGTATAATAGACATGAACCAACAGCAGCTAGGCTGCTTTTAGTTATTTTTACTCTTAAAAGGGAATCATGGGGTGGGGGTGGGGGGAATGGGAACGTATGGGAAGGGGAAACAAAGGAGGAGGCAACAATGCTTGATAAGAAATGTACTCATTATATTGCCCATGTAATTGTAACCCCTCTGTACAGTATTTTCATAATTAAAAATAAATAAATAATAAACATGTAGTTAAAAAATAAAAGGGAATCATGTAAATTATACAGATTTCTAGATATTCACACAGTGAGACAAAAAGAAGATACTCTTAGGAGAGAAACACAAAGGTGCAATACCTAGGTGCCTCTTCATATTTATATAAAATATACATAATGGAAGTGGCACTGTGACTCAAGTGGTAGAGCACGTCCCTTGAGCTGAAATGTTCAGTGACAGAGCCCAGGCCCAGAGTTCAAGCCCCATGATTGACAAAAAAAAAACATATATATATAGAGAGGGGGGGGGAGGGAAGGAGAGAGAGAGAGAGAGAGAATGAACTCCAATATATGGAAACAAGAGTCCTCTTCTTTTATCCTTTGTTTTTCTTTTTTTCTTTCTTTTTAGTTTTTAGTTTTTGAGGAGTCTGTCTTCTTTACCTTATATATGGTGTATGCAAGTATACATCTTTGGAAGGGTTTGGGGGAGGGTTCAGAACTCAAGGGAAAAATGGTGAAAAGGGGCAGCAGTGGAACACACTGGAAAATGGTAGAAATGAACTATACAACTTGTGGGTGGAGATGGGAGGGAGGGACAGGGAGAGAGAGAGGGAACAGAAGACACTGTACAAAAGGAAATGTACTCATTACCTGACTCATGTAATTGTAACCCCTCTGTACATCACCTCTATATTAACAATAAATTAATAATAAAAAGGGAATCATATGGCTGGAGGCATGGCTCAGTGGTAAGTACCTACCTCAGAACCTCAAAAAAGTGAAAAAAAATTATACACACATTTGTATATGTATACACACACACATATACATATGTTCCTGAAGAATTTTTTGTTTCAGATTATTAAGTAAAAAATTATTTTTTACACACTATGCCATTGCTAAGGCAGTCTTATTTTTCTTATAAGTAATCCACACACCATGCACACACTGCAGTTGAGAGGCAGCAAGCCCCAGAGCCAGGAGAATGATCAGGATTTCTATGGTAACCATTTGTAGCATTCTTCTTTCAAAAATCATCCTCAGCAAAGCCAGGCTCGGGCTCAGCAAGCCAGAAGTTTGGGCCAGGTAAAAGCTGGGCCTAATTACTGGTAGAACCAGAGTCACACCTGCTTTGCCAGATAACCCAGAGCCTCTGAAGGCTGCAAGTGCAGAAACTCCACAGAGCCATTTCCTTGAAAGCTTTTTGCCCTGCTCTCCCCACTCCAACCCTTCTGATCTTGGCAGAAAACAAGGCCCTCTCATTTGAACCCTAGGATGGACACCAGTGGCTCATGCCATTGTTAACCCCTGGGACTTTCTATGTCTGCTCTTACCCTCCCCAGGCCTTCAACCATTCCACAGATGGTAACGTATCTAGGATGTGTCCTAGGTCACAGTGTCCCCTGCAGCAGGCCCTGCTTCTCCCACCTTAGGTCCAGCCACAGCCTGCAATAAAGAGTCCCCACCCTAGCCCTACAGAAAACCCACCATCTGGCTCTACTGCCTTCTCCCTCCCAGCCAGCCATCACTCACTGCTCACTTCCTGTCACTCTCCCCACCATTCACTAAAAACCTTGGGATTGCCTGTCCTCTTCCCACACCAACACCTGTTATTGCCGGGATTCTGAGATCCACAAGCCATGCTCACCCACACCACAGTGTTCATTCCTGGACATCTTTATCACTCATGACCTGCCACCCACAGCAGCCACACTCTACAAAGTCATGGCATCCACAGAGCTGTCCTGGGAAATTTTTTACTCCCTAGCTCCTTTTCTTTGACCTCAGTCTTTTCCATCTGTAAACGGCCTTTGCCCTCCTAAACATTCCATGATCTCAGCACAGCCCAGACCTTCACCTCCATTCTTTCCTTGGCTCTCTGCTTCCTCCCATCCTGGCCCTCAGAGGTAATGCTCTGAGCCACTCTCCAGGCCCCTTCATGTCTCCTCCTGCATCTGGAGAACCAGCACACACTCTGGACCAAAGCCACCCTCTTCTTTCTCTTTGTCTCTGCTCTAGGAAATCTTTGCCTACTACCACCCTGAGAAATCAGCATCTTGACAGGGCAGGCTCCTGTTCATTTGATTCCATGTCCCCTTCAGTGACTAGTCACCTTCATCTCTGAATCTCCCTATGCAACCCTTAGCCCCTAAGTCCTGGAGGACTGTCCTGCCTCCGTTATGAATTCCAAGCCTGAACCTCCAGCTATCACTTCCAGGTCTGCCCACCTCTGTGTGCTACACCCCACCCCAAACACCATGTTTTACCAGCACCAGATGGCTCTTAGCAGCCTCAACTGGAATCACCGCACAGCCCCTAATTGGTCTTTGCCACCCCAGACGTGACCCTCCATGACCTGACACTTTCTTTGTCTCACACCTGACGTTCCAGCTTCACACCGGCACATTGTCCCTGCACACTTCCAGTTTCTTCTCACCTTGCTGTTCCTGCACAAGCTCTTTTTGTGGTCCAGAACACCCAACCCCCTTCATCCTCTGCACTCAACCACATGACTCTTCCTCCAGGAAGCCTCTCCAGCTGCCCCTTCCTCCTCCACCTTCCTCCCCTGAGCTGAGTTAGCACCTGTTTTCAACCTCTTTCCCTAAACACCTAGTGCAACTGCTTTTGGCACGGCCATTACCAAAATCTTTTGTCATTCCCCTCCTGCCTCTCTCTTTTCAGTCCTGAGTCTTGAACTGAAGGCCTGGACATTCTCCATTAGCCTCTTTGTGCTCAAGGCTAGTATCTACCACCTGAGCCATAGCACCATTTCTGGCTATTTCTGAGTAGTTTATTGGAGATAAGAGTCTCATGGACTGTCCTGCCTGGGCTAACCATGAACCGCGATCAACATATCTAAGCCTCCTGAGTAGCTAGTATTACAGGTGTGTGCCACTGGTGCCCAGCTGCCATTTCCTCTTTATTGTGTGTGTGTGTGTGTGTGTGTGTGTGTGTGTGTGTGTGGTGTGTGCGCGTGTGCACCAGTTCTGGAGCTTAAATTGGGCCTTGCATTCTCTCTTGACTTTTCTACTCAGTCTACCATTTGAGCTATACCTCCTCTTCTGGCTTTGGCTGGTTAATTGAAGAGTCTCACAGATTGTTCTGCCTGGGCTGGCCTCAAACTACAATCCTCAGATCTCAGCCTCCTGAGTAACTAGAATTACAAGGGTGAGCCACTAGCACCCAAGCATCGCCATTTCCTCTTTTGCTGAATCTGTCATCCCACCTGATTCACCTCCTGAAATGCCAAAAGGCAGAAGAATGGGCAGGACAAAGTTCTGTGCATATGCAGGCTCCCTGCCCGTCAGACCCTCCACAAAGCTTGCAGCCACCAAACATCCATCACATTCACTAGCCAGGTTCAGGTGGCAACCCCCTCCCACACACCTGCAGCCTCAGGCTCATCACATGGGTGTGATATTCTTCCACATATTCCTTCAGGGGTCTTCTCATATTACATGCCCCATTCCCAGGGACTTCTGTAGCTCCCCAGTCACAGTACCCTTGTGTGCCCTGGAACACTATACCTTGGCCAGGGATCTGACTATGGGGCTTTCCATAATGCCTCGAAGGAAGATCAGATCCAGCTCTGCAGCACCTGTGGCATTGGGGAGGGATCCCAGGTTGTCCAGGACTTGCTGCATGGCTGGAGGGGGAAAGTAGGCAGTGAGATACTTGGGTATCAGCTGGGCACAGAAGACCAAATTGCACCACCATGCATCCCTCTCCCTCCTCCCTAGCAGCATTCCCCTCCCTCCTCACACAGGCATCCAGGCCCTATATGCCTGGAACAGAGGCCCTTAGGGGTGGGGGTGGGGCGGGAGTTTTCTTGGCTTGTTCTTCCATGCCAAGTAAAGCCAGCCTGGGCAAGTTGAGAGTCCAGGCAATAGGAAAGAGTCTCTGGGGGTTGGGAGATGGATGTCAGGTTCTAGATCTGCCCAGCACTAGGAATACACAGGCTTACCACTCAACCCCTAGATGGGCTGAAACCTAGAGACTCATCCAGCTGCACCTGGCAGGCTCAGGGATGACAGACAATGCTTAGCGCATGTACCATGAGGTCAGATCCAGAATCAAGCAGACAGATTCACTGCAGCATCAAGTACAAGCTACACCATTAACTCAATGTAGCATGACACAGGTCACTGTCCCTTACTGGTCCCAGTCTTTCCCATTAGCTCTGACAGATAGTAACCTATCTGTCAGAAAATTTAACATAAATGGTAGGAAGTCATAGCTGAAACCTGGAACGCTGGCAGGAACTGGAGAAACCCTGCCACTGCAGACATCCAAGGGCTGAAGAGATTTAACCAAGGCCATGAGTACACTTGAGGATGTGGGATAAGGCTGCCTGGCAGAGATGGAAGCTCCAGGCTGTGGCAGCTTCCAGGGAAAGGCAAGAGAGAAGCAGAGTGTGCCCAGCTGGAGGCAGAGATGGGCAGGGGGTATCATTACTCTGCCACCCTGCCACCCACGTCTACATCTGTGTAGCAGCACCCAGGCCCTGGAGGAGGGGTACATTCACTCCCAGCACCTCTCAACACTCTTGTCAAGGCTCCCCTCCTTTAGGAAGGTGTGGAGGATGGGCAGGCAGGGCACTGAAACTGGAGCTGGCAGAGGAGGTTCTGGGGCTCCTGTTTACCTTTTCCAGAAACAACATGCCAGTCTGTCTTCCAGGTCTCTCCTGTGCAGGCCCGGACCTCACAAGGGTTAAAGACTGCAAAATACTTCATGGGCTCTGAAAGGCGCCAGGACAGGGATCCATCCTACTGTGCTAGGGATGTACTCTGTTCATAAACTCCCCAACCGCCCAGTTTAGTAACTGGGGAAAGGAGGGGAAGTAATCCAGGGGAAATGACACCCTTGGCCCAGGTCAGCTCCCCCACCCCCCCCCCCGGCGGGCCAGGCTCCCATGACCTTTAAGGATCCCAGGGAGCCAGCCCCCTTCTGAAGATTCTTTTCCAGCCTCCAAACACTGCTGCTGAGGGTAAGTTAAGGAGCAAGCATTCTTCCTCCCCACCCGCAACTTCCTACCTTCCCTCCGGAGCTCCGCTTCCTCAGAGGAGCCCAAAGAAATGCCCTCCAAGGAGGCCTCGCTGCCTGGGCTGCCAGCCATAACGACCCCGGTACTGGGCACCCGGGAAGCTTGCGCGCTGCCCGCCCGCCTTCCCGGCCAAACCCGGACAGCCCTGGAGAAGGCGGAACTCGGGGAGCGCAGCAGAACCAGCCAATAGCGAGGCTCCGCCAGCCAACCTCCTTGCTGATTGGCCAAGGCCGCTAGGCTGCGGGGTGGGGAGGAGGTGGCAACCGGTGGGAGGGGGCGGTGACAGGAGAAAGCCATCCCACAGAGGCCCTGACTCCCATCTTTTAGTACCAGGTAGAGAGAAGCAGCGGCTTCTAGAAGGTGTGGACGGTGGGAGTAAGCCCCTTTGGACTGTTGTGGCGCCCAGGCACCCTACCCTCTCAGCCTTCCCTCAAGGATAGAAACCCAAAGCAGGGCTTGGCACCCCTCTTTCATGACATCTCCCCCAGACCTTTGACCTCTGGTCTCTGCCTCCTCCTCCTCCAGTGTCAGTTACAGTGGCTCCTCAATCAAAGGAAGCCACCCAAACCCACTCTAGGTAGGTCCAAGATATAGTTGGTACTGCGATGGCCTGAAGCAAGTACCTCAGTCCTAAATGCTTCCCCCTACAGGTGGCTAGCCACCATCCATCCAGGTGAAGAGGGGAAGGGTGGGGGAGGGAGGGTGGCATCCCTGAGGAAGGGAAGGCCCCAGCCCTTGGAGTCTACATCTAGTATCCCCTCCCCCATTTCTCATCAGCTGTGCCCTAGGGTGAGGGGTGATGCCCAAGAGACAAGCCAGGTATCTTGGAACTGGGGGAGAGAAAATAGGAAGGGTAGTGGGGAGGGAAGAAGGTGATTGGCAGCCACCCTGGCACTATGCCCCATCCCTCTGAACCTCTGTAACTATGAGGCCACGACCCGGAGACTTGCTGCAACCACTAGTAAACTGGTCTCTGAGGAGCTGTACAATGTCTCTAAGTGCCTCTGGTTGCCAGGGCAGCAGGCAGATTACACACCAGGACAGTAACTAGGGATGCAAGAAAAATTTAAAGAGACAGCTCTATCTGAAAGTAGCCCCATATCCCAACCTTGATTTTTTTCAAAAAGGAGTGTAGTCAGGCACTGATGGTGTGTGCCTATAATCCTAGTTACTCAGAAGGCTGAGATCTGAGAATCACAATTTGAACCCAACCCAGAAGGGCTAGCTTCTCTTATCTCCTATTAATCATCAAAGAGCCAGAAGTGGAGCTGTGGCTCAAGTGGCAGAGCACTAGCCTTGAGCAGAAAAAGCTCAAGGGACAACGCCCAGGCCCTGAGTTCAAACCCCAGTAAAAGCACATACAAAAGCAAGTGAGCAAACAGACAAGGCATGAGTCTGGTAAAGGGTGAAGAGAGAAGTCAGGCATAAGATCTCCAAACTCAGCTCATGCTACCACCCACAGATCTTCCCACCCCCACCCCATTCCTAACTGAACGTTCAAGTGGCATCTCTCATCTCTCTACGTCTTCCCTCCAAAATGACAACTGTATTGACTTGTCAGAAAGGGTAGGACCTCCATAGCTTCATCTCTGTAGAGCCCAAGGCAAGGGGAAGGAAATGGTAGGGAAAGGCTAGAAGGGGAAGACATAGGCAGAAGGGAAGGGAGAAGAGAATCTGACCTCAGCCAACCATAGCTCATCTTGAGCACAGCTGTCTGTCAGTCCCATGGGAAGTGAAATGACCATCAGATGATAAGGAGAAGAATGCATCCCTTTCATTTGTGAGGCTGGGAACTAAGATACCTTTAGAGGGCTAGCTCTGGGAAGAGGAACAGTTTGTACTTTTTCCTTTGAATATGAGAAGGCAGAAGTAGCCCCAGGCACAGCAACCAGGGGAGCAGAGGCCCTAGGAATCTTTTGAGAGAGTTCCATCCCCAGAGCTCTACTCCCGGTCCCCCAAGCCTACTGTGCCCCTATCAAGTGGCCTGCAGCTGGGAAGCCAAATTGCTGGGCGGGCTCCTCCCTCTACATCCCAGCTGGGTGCTTTTAATGGGTTTACTGGGCAGCCCCAGATGAAGGACCTTTAATCACAGGCTCAGGGATGAGTTTAATTAACCCCTAAGCAGCTTAGAGGGGGGCTCAGGCAAAATGGAGCAAGGGGAGAGAGTAGAGGTGAGGGGGTGGCAGCAGGCTGGGCAGCAGATGGAGGCCCAGAGCCCTCCATGCCTGCAGAAGACTACCAGTGCAGGGAGAGGAGGCCTCTCCTGGGGGACAAGACCATAGCCAGGGCTCTGGCACCTAAAACATTTCAGAGGCAGGAGGGCAAGGCCCAGGGCCAGGAAGGAGCTGCATCTCAGTTGGGGAATTCTCACCAAAGCCAAAGCAGCTCTACGAAGCCCTTGGAGAGCCTCAAAGCAAGGAACTTAACCTGGTGGATCCCCAGAAAGCACTCACAGGTGCATGAACCCCTGGAATGAGATGCATGGTGAGGGCCCATCACTGTCATCAGTCTCCTCCAAGATCACTGAATGTGAACGACAGTGACCTTGTCTGATCACCTTGACTGACAGTGAACTAGTTCTCCACGGGGGTTGACTGACACCAGGCCATGAGGTCAAGGACAAAGCAAGACAGTAACAGCTGCAGAATAATTGTGAACACTCCTCCCTCTCACCCTCTTCAGCCTCTTTACAGAATTGGAAATGAAAATCAGCCTCCATGAGGCTTAGCTGCTGGCTCCAAGGCTTTCCAGTCTGTCTAGCAGCCCACCCCCCTTGCTGGAAAATCTCCTGGCATTGTTGCCCCTGCACTCACTCCCAGCTGGTCTAAGGTACTTCTCAGCCCTGGACTGGGCTGTCCTCCAAGGCCTGGCCCTCAAGGTCCTCCTGGGAACCCTTTCTTAAGCTGTCCAACCCCTTCTGTCCCCAGTACAGAACCCACAGAGAGAAGATGGCCTGGGTGAAGGGCTGAGTAGCCGTGGAGTGAACTGTGGGAGTGCACCTCTGAACCACTGAAAGAAACTGACAGGCTCACCCCCTTCTTACCAGACTCGGAGTTGGTGGCAGCAACAGGCATGGCGAGGTCTCAAGGGCTCTGAAGTGTCTCCCCTGGAGAGGGGAGAGAGGAAGATGAGAAGGGAACAGAGCAAAGCAGGGCACAATGAAGAGGAAAGGTGTCCCCTGGAGGGGCATACACACAGGAGGGAGACAGCACTGCTCAGAAACTAGGAACTGGATAGCCACAGTGATCCCAAATGTCCTGAGTGGCAGGATCAGCATATATCCCCTTCTTGGAGGAGGAGGAGGAGGAAGAGGAGGAGAATGAGGAGAACCAGGAGGAAGAGGAGGAGACAGGGACAGATCAGAAAGGTTAATCAAGTTTCTCAGGGTCACAAAACTCATTGGAAAAACTGCAAACAATAACCATGTTTTTTTTTTACTCTAAGCACATAGAATTCGTGCGTGTTAGTGAATACATATATTCCCTAGCTACTCGGGAGGCAGTGGTACGTCATTTGAGCCTAGGGAGTTCAAGACCAGCTTGAGCACCATAAGCAAGATTTATCTCAAAAACAAACAATTCCCTGAAACAGGTCTTTTGTCTTTTGTCTTCTTTTCTAAGTAGGGGTGGGTAAGCAAAAGTCTAGAATTGCTTCTCATTCTCCCAGGACAGGGGATGACAGGGGACAACAGGGGATAAGGTTACCCCTCACTCTTCCCTTGCCTTCCTGGGCATATGCTGCTGGGGGGAGGAGGGAACACTAATTCCCCATTGCCATGACAACGGGAGGCAGTGGCTCACAGCAGGGATGGGGGAGTGGGGGGAGCAGCTGGCAGTGCCCACTTTAGGAATGAATGCCTCCTGGGCCCATGGAGTGGGAGAGAACCTTGGCTACTTCACTTCCTTCTTCCCCAAGGATTCTTCTCAGAGGAACCACTACCCCAATTTCAAGAAAACTCTCCAGCTCCATTCTTTTCCCAGGCCTGAGCAGGTCACCTGAGTTCTGGTGGCAGAAATGACAAAACAGCGGGGGAATCTCTTCCTCCTGAACCTGCTCCTGAGAATGAGAAAAGACACCCCTCTCTCACTAGCACCCAGGTTGGGAGAAATGCCCAGGATCCACTGTGCCAGCTGGTGCCCCAGTACAGTTCCTAGAGAGCAGGAGATGCCTTCTCCTAGCTGGAGCTCTTCTCCCCTGTCACTGGTGCAGCTCAGAGGGGGAGAACTGGAGTCCTTGATCCTAGAGCTGGAGGTGGGAAGAGGCAGGGGGGAGCCTATATGGAACCCCCATGCCCTGCCCCGGAGACGTGCCCAGGCTGCCTGGAGTTTTTCCCTGGGGAGCTGGTTCCCACGCTGTCGCTTGCTCTGCCCCACCCCCACCCAAGCTTCGGAGAGGGCGAGGCCAGCTGTGTCCACAGGAGAAGGGCAGTGCCAGGCAAGGCAGCCTGGCTTTACGCCAAAGTCTAAGGGGCCCAGGCATTAGGGAACCCTCATCTCCGTTTTCCAAAGCCTGAGCCCGCCGGCCACTGGTGCCTTCTAGGGGAGGGTCCCCATCCCACCGTGAGGCCGGCCACCCTGGAAGGGGGAAGATTTCCTCCAGCCTGCCCACCCATCTCTCCAGCACCGAAAGGTGAGGATGGAGGAAGGTCTGACAAAGGTGCTTTGGGGACCGACGGGTCGTGGGGAGGGCTGGCCAGAGCTGAGGGCGGGAGGACGGGGTCTGGAGACCAGGCAGACGTGCCGGTACTCACAAACAGATCGCTCCCCCCACCCCAACACCACACACACACACACACACCAGCCCAGGCCAAACCCGCCGGGCGCTAGGACCAAGGGGAAGGAGGGGGGCGTGTTGCGCGCCATCAAAGAAGGCGCTTTGCACGGAGCCCGCGGGAGGAGGGCGGGATGAGGTCACTGAATGATTGCACCCTCAAAAAAACCCTAATCCTATTCCCCCGCCGCCCCCTCAGTTGATATAACTTTGTCACCCTGGCTCCTTGCTTCTGGCACCCACCAGTCCTCTTAACTCTGGCCTCCGCACCCCCCCCCAACTCCAAAAGCACCTTCTCCTGCCTGAGAGATGTGGGGGTGTCGATCACCCCCTTCCCAGACACC